GAATATTTGTATTTGAGTGGAGCATCTTGAAAGTATGCTGCCTTAGCAGAAGGAATGAACCCTGGATGCTCACGTGAGGGCTGGAGGGAGCTGGTGTGAATCACATTTTCAATCTACCCATACAGCACTAGGGCTTCCCTGCTGGCTCAGTGGTGTAGGATCCACCTGGCAATAAGGAGACACAGGAGACCCACTTTCCATCCCTGGATCAGGAGCATCCCCTGGCAGAGGAAATGGCAACCCACTCCAGTATTCTTGCCTGGAAAACCCCATGGACACAGGAGCTGGTGGGTTATCTTCCACGGAGTCACAAAGAGTAGGACACAACTGAGTGACTAAACACATATATAAGGCACTTACGTGGCTGTCTTAAAATTCTGTGCTCAGTAATTCACAGCATCAACAAACAATGAAATGAAATAACAGCAAGAACAAAAGGAAATTGGAAGAGCCCCAGCGGCCTGGGGGAGCTCTGTGGACCATGTGGTGATGATGCTCTAATTGGGGCTCAGAGAGACCCCAGCAGTGCTCAGTCAGTGCTGACCCCTTGTGTGGCCACAAGGCCACAGCAAGGTCTTGTCCCATCACTCTGGGATTCAGGGTGTCTCTGTCGAAGGTGACAAGACTATTTTGAGTCATTTCTTAAGGAATGTCACACTGGCTGATGGCCCTGTGGGTCCTATGGCCCCTGCCCCATCTGTGCCCAGTCCCTGGACACTCACTATGAGGCCTGGTATCCCCAGGACCAGGTGTAGAGAGCAAGCCCCTGGCTTTGGTCTTGGTTCCTAAGGCTGGGATCCCTCCTGCCTGGAGCAGCTCGCCCACATGATGATGCTCCCACAATGACACCATTCTTTGCATCCAGGTCATCGAGCCACTGCTCTGGTTTTGTACTGAGAACGTGTGTGCTCCCTTCTCCACGGGACAAAGGACTTCAGGCAAAGTGCAGGGGGCTTGCTCCACCGTGGGCAGCTGGGCTACACTCCACCTCAGTGATCTGCTCCAGGTCTCTGGGGTCTCCTCAGCTTTGGTTAAAATGCTGCAAATTTAACATAGGAAAAGACTGGAAACTGGCCCCATTTAATGTGCAAATCTGTTTTAGTAGCATCATCTCTTTTTCACCAGAGGCCCTTTAGGGATCTGCAGCCCATTTCATCAAGATGTTGACTGTCTTTATACCAGGGCTGGGGATCCTGGTTCACCTTCACTAAGGACCATGTGGCCCGAAGGGTCCCATCACTAAGGTCCATGTTCTCCTATGTTCATCTTCACTAAGAACCACGTGGCCTGAGTGACTGCATCACTAAAGATCACATCCTCTTGAGGGGCCCCATCACTAAAGACCACATCTGTCTATGAGGCACCATCATTAAGGTCCATGTCCTCCTGGGGGCCCCATCACTAAGGACCATGTGGCCTTTGGGGCCCCATCACTAAGGACCATGTCCACCAGAGGGGTACCATCATGAAGGACCATGTCCTCTTGAGGGGTCCTATCACTAAGGTCCACATCCTCCTGAGGGGTCCCATCACTAAGGACATGTCCTCCTGAGGGGCCCCATTGCTAAGACCACATCTGTTTGTGTGGGGTCCTTGGCCCCTCCAGAACCCTGCTCAACGAGCCTTCCCAGGAGCTGAGCTGTGCATAATAAGGACTCTGTCCTTCTCAGTATTTTTTTAGGCTGAAAGGAAACTTTCCTGCATTCCCTGCCTTTGGCTTCGGTTAGATATTTGAAATGGCAAAAGTTATTAAAATTCCAATGTGGGAATTCGCTTAATAAACAGGAAGGGAGTTTTGAGGACCCACCACTGAGCATGCAAATTAACCCTGCAGATGCAAGTCCTGGGGTGTTGGCAGTTTCTACGCTGGCCTTGGAGGAGGGTCTCTATTCAGGGGACTTTCCTTATACTGTTCCTGGGCTACTACGAGCTTTTGTTACACGTAATGTGTACTTTTTTTTTAATAGAAAACTTAAAATAGACAGAAACATATGAAATGATCTCATTTATACAAGACCTGTGTAACTACAGATTCACCTCTCAATGGCAACATTTATTCATTCGCCCAATATTTATTGGATGTCAGTTTTACGGGGAAATAAAGAAAACAAACAACTTGAAGAGGTCAAAGAGAAATAAAGCAGAAGGAAGAAACCTTGAGGAGGAAAATAGGCCTGGAGGAACTCAGAGGGCAGTATGCTCCTGGCCCCAAGGGGGAAGCAGGAGAGACTTCCTGGAGGAGGCAGCATCTGAGCTTGGCCTTGAGAAGTGGGGAGGGCAGTGGATTAAAGATGGCCACATATTCTTTGACATCCTCCCACTGAGAAATGGCACCTTTGACCCTCCCCTGAATTTCCCCAGGCGGTGGGCTCTGTGACTGCTCCCATCAAGAGAACACGGTGGCATTGACGTGGGTCAGTTTCCAGGCCAAGCCCTTAAGGTGTCAGCTGCTCCCTCTTCTTGTCTTTTGGAACAGCTGATCTTAGAATGCTCTCTCTGGGAGCCCTGAGCCTCCCTGCTGGACCTACTCTAAGGCCCCCATGCTGGACAGGCCACATGTAGGCATGTCAGTGGAGCAGAGGCTGAAGGTGGCAGGTGGGTTTTGGTGGGGATGGGGACCCAGAAAGCACCCTGAGTATTGCTTGCATCAGCATCCCCCAGAAAAACAAAGACCCTTGAGCTCAACTCAGGACAAAGAGGATCAGAATCCCAAGGAATGTAGCCCAGGAACCTGCCTTAACAAGCACCTTGGGACTTTTAGACCCAGTCTGAGAAACAGTGGAATGAGGAATAGACCACCCTGAGTAGAGGGAAGAAGGGGACGGTGGATTTAAGTAAACAGGAAGAAGAGGACTTCATTTTATAAGCAAATGTAGTTGAACAAGTAAACAAACAGAAAGGAAGGTGGATGTTGGAGCAGGCACAGTATCTCCAGCTGGGCACTTGAGCTTGGCAGACCCCAGAAAGGTAGTGGTGGGGAGGGGGTCCTGCTGCTGACACAGGGCTATCTCCCTGTGAATGAACATGGGGGATTTCATCACACATCACACCTGAGTCTCTTACTGAAGCAGCAGTTATGGCTCCTGGGGCCATCAAAGTCACCTTCCCGCCCCTCCCCTCCTCTACAAGGGAATCCTTCTGTGTTTGTGCAGAAGAAAGAGAAAGAGAGAGCCCAGTCAGTAGGACTCAAGCAATCAAAGACCTGGCACCAATGGAAACAGATAAAAGACAGAGAGACAGGAGGATGCAGGGCTCTGAGTGCTGTTATTCATGTTAATAAACGGTACTAACAACATGTAAGGTAGACGTGAACATGGGAGCCAAAGACACATCACTCTGGAAGACTGTTTATAGGAATGTCCACTGAGCATCTTGAGAAACAGATATTGATAAGGATTGAACTGAATTAAATCGGATTCAATGGACAGTAATGAATCTGATCCTCTTAATCCTTTTAATCATTAGGGTCTTCCTACCAGTAACCAAGTGCTTATTTTGAGGTTGTTGTTTTTTTTCCTCTTTAAGCAAGTGAAAATAAAATACCAATGAAGTGTTTTTAAAAGAGGATTACCTAAGTGACTGCCCTGGCATTCCAGTGGTTAAGACTTCACCTTTCAATGCAGGGGGTGCAAGTTCGATCCCTGGTTAGGGAGCTAAGATTCCACAAGCATCAAGGCCAAAAAACCCAAAACATTAAAACAGGAGCAATACTGTAACAAATTCAGTAAAGACTTTAAATAATCTTCCCCCCTCAAAACAAGAGGATTGCCTCAAATTAAACTATTAAGCTGCATGTGGGGGTGAGAAGCTGGGAGGAACATTGGGTCCTGCAGAGCTGGGAAGGTAGCAACATCTCTACTGTGAAGTTATATATTTGATCTGCACACTTTTCTGTATTATGTTGTTGTTTAGTCCTTGTTCAGACTCTTTTCGATCCCATGGATTGTAGCCCACCAGGCTCCTCTGTTCATGGAATTCTCCAGACAAGAATACTGGAACCAGTTGCCATTTCCTTATCCAGGGGATCTTCCCAACCTAGAGATCGAATCCGCATCTCTTCTGCATTGGCAGTCGGATTCTTTACCTGGTGAGCCATTGGTACAAGTACAGGGTGTGAAGGTGTTAAAAGGAGAGGTGGCCGCAGTGTAGAGGGGCCTAGAGGGGTTAGTTCCCAGAAGCCGCGCGCCCGCGGGGGTCCTCGTGTGTGCACAGGTCCTGGACGCGGCAGGGGTGGGGGGTGGAGACCGGTTCCAGTTTCCGTGGCCTCACGCGGATACCGGGTGCCCCTTTAGCGTGCGTCCCTGGGGCACACGATGGAGACGTGTGAACACTTGCGGGGCTCACCCTCTCCTGATTACTGAAAGGTAATCAGAGACTCTGTTGGAGTCTCTGGAGCGAGATGTTTTCCTGGAATGCAGCTCTGAGCCCAGAGCGTGGAGACTTAAACTGCACGAAGCACAGAGCTGCCAAAGGCATCTTTAGAGCTGCGAGGGAAAGCCAGGACATTCCGAAGGCCTGCGCGGGAGGGAGGGAGCGGGCTGGGGGGGCCAGGGCGCGCGGTGCGCAGGGGAGGGGACTGTGGTCTGGAGGGCCGGTAGCGGCGAGATCACGAGGCCTGCGCGGGGACCCTCAGAGCACCCTGCCCTTCCCCCACTGGATAACGCGGCCCCTCCCGGGGCAGCCGGACCTCTCTTGCCCTTCGCCCGCGGTCTTTGGCGGCCCAGGCGCCGGCAGCCCCGCGGCCTTGGAGGAGCGTGGCCGGAGAGAGGGGCGCGGAGACTTGGCACGGACGCTTGGCCCGCGGCCCGTCTGCACAGCGCCCGCCTCCCGGGTCCCGCCCCGGCCCGGACTCGGGGACCGCCCGCGTGTCCAGGACCCTCGAGCGCAGTTCTCCAGCGCGCAGTCCTCTGGAGCCGCGTCTTCCAAAACAAGCGCCTTCCTATCCTTCCCGCGCAGTGGCCAAGGTGCGCACGTCTCTCTCCAGCGCATCCGCTGCAACCATGGCCACCTCCTCCGCGCGGCCCGCCTTCCTGGTCATGACCGCACTGGCGCTGCTGCTTCTGCTGTGCGTGGGCCCAGGTAAGGGGGCGAGTCCACGGCGCTAACGCCGAGAGGAGGGCGCGGAGACCAAGGCGCACATCCCGAGCCTTGGCAAGGGCCAAGAGTTGAAAGCGGTCTTGGGTTCTGCTCTTGCGCGGTGGGAAGTGGCAGAGTTCAGGGTCAAGGGCAGGGTCTCAGGTATCTGCAGCAACCTTGGGAAAAGATGAGGAGGAGCCTTGAACAGAACGCGAGGGGCAGGGTGCAGTGGGCGCCGTAGGCAGGTGGCACCCAGAACTCAGAGGAGTCAAAGGGCCTTCATCCCCAGGGTCCCTTCCAGGGCTTCCCTTCCCGGCGCCTCGGCTCAGTTAAGTTCCAGGCCTGAAAATCTGCGCGAGCAGGAGCAGGGCCTCACCTCGCTGGGGAAAAGCCCTGAAAGGAGAAATTCTTCAACTTCTCTACTTCTTGGGGGCCCTCTTGAATGGGTTGGAAATCCCAGTTCGTTCCCTAAAAAATGCGCGCATTCACACACAGGCTGCAGGTGAAGTGGGTGGGGTGCGGACTTCTGAACCCTGGGAGCCCACAGAGCCCACCTTAGGGAGATTTCACCCTGAGTGCTATCTTCCCTCTTGCCAGCTTTTATGGCTCAGGAGTGGCCTCTGGCAGGCAGGGGTGCCTTTGCAGGTGTGAGAGGTGGGGTGGTGACCCCAGGTCTACTGGGAAGATGCAGGGTCTGGAAGGTGGGAGGGTGACCTGCTCAAGAACCTGAGACTGAAGTTTCTCGCACCACAAAGCAGCCAAGCAAGGTGGGTGGAAAGGCAGGACCCCCTTGGTTGCTGAACATCTGTGTTTTGGGTGGTCAGCACAAGTGGGGAACAGCAAACATGGGGCAGGGGAGCCCTGGGAGCCCTGGGGGACATTAGCACAACAGAGGGGCTGGGGTGACTGCTCTTCTAATTTAGGACCACAGGGGAGGCCAGTCAATCACTCCCCATCACCTGATTTATCACCTCCCGCTTGTTCCTCCCATTTTAAGAACCACATCTGAATACAGCAAGTGGACATCAGCTAGAAACCCATTCTTTTCAGGACTTGTATTTTATTTCATTTGTACCAAGACTGCAGTGATAGGAGTTGGTTAAAATATTATGATCATTGAGCTGGAATGTGAAAGTTCTTATGACACCAAATGGAAATCTTCATGTAAAGTCCCCAAGGTGATTTTGTGACACCCCAAAGAGTTTAACGGAGAAAGGGACCATAACCCTTTCTTGACCAGTTTATCAAGAACTTCAAAGGGGGCATCTTGAAATTCCAAACCCTGGGAGATCGAATGCCAGGGAGCTTGACTTGATCAACTCAGGAGTGTGTTTGAGCACAGCCTGGAAATGGTGACCAGTGGTGTTGGGGTAGAAATTCATGATGCTACAAGACAAACCCCACCGCGGCTCATTTGTTCTTTATTCCTTTCTTCAAATAAAGTTAGTGTGGTATCCACGTTCACGCATTGATATTTACAGTTCAGTGGGTAGTAATTGGCACCATGGCATTGCTGTTATTTATCATTTTAGGACTTGTTCACCCTTTTCAGTTGTGTAGCTGAATCTGATGGGGCTCACCTTTCTGAGGTAGTAGTGATACACATTTGCTGGGAGAAATTGCAGCTTCAGTGCAAATGCCACTCAGATGGTAAAGAATCTGCCTGCAATACGGAAGAGCCGGGTTCATTCTCTGGGTTGGGAAGATCCCCTGGAGGAGAGTATGGCAACCCATTCCAGCATTCTTGCCTGGAGAATTCCACAGACAGAGGAGCCTGGCAAGCTCCAGTCCAAAGGGTCGCAGAGTCGGGGACGACTGAGGGACTAACACTTTTCACTTTTCCAATGTCTGTTTCAATTCATCAGTATTAAAGTGCTCTTACAGAAGACAGACAGAGGGGTGGTACTTAATTCGGCACGCTACTCTTGAGTCGTTGGAGACTCATGTGTATTACGATACTAAAATGTGCTCAGATTCGTGCCCTGTCCATGTTGGCAAATGTAGATTCCTTCGCTGACTCTTGAGGTTGGGAGGGAAGCACAGACTGAAAGTGGTCCCACCCCATCTAACTGATCCTCCTGTGCAGTAGCCTCCCCAGTGCCGACTCACAACTGATGCTCAGATACCTCTAGCAACTCTGGATGGGAAGCTTCTCTGGTGATTCGCTCCAGCCTTGGGTGGCTGTCCGGTGCTGGCAGCCTGCTCTGGCAGCCTGCTGCCCACCCTATTCTTTGGCCCAGTGGCACCTTAGAGCCATCCATCGCTCTGCTCCCAGAAGTTCCCCTCTAGTTAAACATCTATATGTGTGTGTGTGTGTGTATGTGTGTGTGTGTTAGTTGCTCAGTCATGTCCACCTTTCTGGGACCCCATGGACTGTAGCCCACCAGGCTCCTCTGTCCATGGGATTCTCCAGGCAAGAATACTGGAGTGGGTTGCCGTGCCCTCCTCCAGGGGATCTTCCCAACCCAGGGATCGAACCCAGGTCTCTTGCATTGGCAGACAGATTCTTTACCATCTGAGCCACCAGGGAAGCCCCAGTTAAACATCTAAATTCCTTTGTTATCATATCACATACATGGGCCATTTGTTCCTCCTGGACTTTTTCCTCTTTCCAAAACTTTTTCCTTTTGCCAGAACTCCTGTTTTTCTGTGACTGTCTGAAGGTCCCATGTTAGCTGCTGCTGCTGCTAAGTCACTTCAGTCGTGTCCGACTCTGTGCGACCCCATAGATGGCAGCCCACCAGGCTCCCCCGTCCCTGGGATTCTCCAGGCAAGAACACTGGAGTTGGTTGCCATTTCCTTCTCCAATGCATGAAGGTGAAAAGTGAAAGTAAAGTCGTTCAGTCGTGTCCAACTCTTAGCGACCTCATGCACTGCAGCCTACCAGGCTCCTCCATCCATGGGATTTTCCAGGCAAGAGTACTGGAATGGGGTGCCATTGCCTTCTCCGCACATGTTAGCACCTGAACCAAAGAGTAAAGAGGTGGGCTTATCAGAGACAAGCCGAAACAGAGGCAGGACAAGTATTTCCTTTCTTCAAGACGCTCTCCTTTTATTTATGCAGCCTAAAATTGTACCTGCTTTTTAAACAACCACATCTCTGTAGACTAACTGGAAGTGTAGACGATAATTCTGAATTCAGACCACTGCCCACTTAGCCCACTGCCCGGAGACACCAGACCTCCTCTGAAGACATGAGGATGGCCCCACTGTGTTCTTGTCTTGCAGTGGGATCCCTAGAGTTCCCCCCAAACCTGGCTCCCTATTCTAAATGTAGGTGGGAGACACCCAAATTCAAACACCTGTGGGGGGCTTGAGAGGTAAAGTGCTGTTCACAGACCCCCGGGTCTGCCAAGTGACCTGGGTCTGGAAACATTCAAATACTAAATCTGTAAACACGGGCACCTAAGAAAACACACTTGCAGGTCACATTCAGCAGTGAGCAGCCAATTTGTGACCTTTGGCTACAAATGTGTTTTTTTCCTCCCCAACTACATAATAAATTCTTTAAGCAGAGTTTCTTAATCTTTTTTGGGTCCCACACACTTCTGAAAGTCTGGCCGGAGCTCTGGCTCCTATTCCCAGAAGACGACACCTCTGCAGTTGCAAATTGGTCCACAGTTGGGAAGGACAAGACCTGCCAAAGGATGGATACCACCATCTCAGTATCTCCATCCTTGGGCCAGACTGTGGCTCATTCACCTAAGGATGCTCTGATCAGTCTTTACAAGGCTGGCCTCTCTCCTAGGGCCTCTGGTTCCCCCTCCACAGGACAAGCCTCATTCCTGTAAGTAGCACTCAGAGACCAGAGGCTTCCACAGTCTCCAAACCAGCTCACGGGCCAGAGGGGGTGTTCCGTGAGATCAAACTCATCATTTACTATTTAAATGATTGGGCAGGTTATAAACACTTCTAGATCTGAATACAGACAACAGTAAATGGTACAAATGATGCCTGATTGTAAGACAGTCAGGACAAATAACAATACAGGGCTGAATTTTGAGAGCACTGAGGCACGTACCTTGGCTTGTGGTGGAGAAACCCCACTTCTGCCTTCATCTTCTCATGACTGCCATCTGTGTGGTGTCATTTCTTCTTGTAAGGACATCAGTCATTGGATTTAGAGCCCAGCCTAAACCCAGCATCATGTTACCTCCAGATCCTTAACTCATTACATCTGCACAGACCTTATTTTCAAATAAGTTCCCACGCTGAGGTTCTGGGCGGTATGAATTTGGGGGGACACTATTCAGTAGACTGTACCATGAAAAGTAAAGTCTGCAGGCAGGTACATATGACAGATAGCAGCCTGAATATTATTTAATTTTTTAAAAAATTTTATACTAGAATATGGGCTTCCCAGGTGGCTCAGTGATAAAGTTTCAGCCTGCCAAGGCAGGATTTGATCCAGGGTTTAATCCCTGGGTGGGGAAGATCTCCTGGAGGAAGAAATGGCAAAAAAAAAAAAAAAAGAAACGGCAACTCCTCACTCCAGTATTCTTACCTAGAGAATTGCATGGACAGAGGAGCCAGGTAGGCTACAGTCCATGGGGTCACAAAGAGTCAGACATGACTGAACAACTGATCACACATGTACACATAGCGTTAACAATGTTGTGATAGTTTCAGGTGAACAACAGAGTGACTCAGCCATGCATGCAATACACATGTATCTATTCTCCCTCTAACTTCTGCCTGAATACTATAATAGAAGGGCTCAAAGGACAACGTTACTTTTCCTAGGGAATAGTTCAGATGGTCTCCAGTAGCTCAAAGCCTCCTGTTCAGCCATAGTTCTTGTCACCAGTTTGAGCAAGGGGCAGCCTGAATGGCCTTTTCTACACAACAGGAAATGCAGCAAGCATTGGATACCAAGTTGCCAAAGCAGGATAGGGGCATGAAGTGAGTTTTTTCCAATGTGGATTTTTGCATGTGAGAAATTTAAGGGTCCAGTACAACCCTGAAACGATTTCTGTCCTCATTCCTTTAGGAGGCATAAGTGGAAACAAACTCAAGTTGCTGCTTCGGAAACGAGAAGGTAAATACAGCCTACATGGATAAGAGGGCATTCTTCACTGGGTTGCAGGGAAACAGTGATGTTGATGTGTTCACTGGAGGCTTGTGTTTGGAAAGTGAAAAGTGTTTACTCCTTAAAAGGTTAGCAGATAGAAGGGGTGGTTCTGTGGGGATGCAGTGCGGTATTTCATCAGATAAATATTATTGCCAGTTAATGCTTCTCTGAAAGCTGTCAGTGTAGATCCAGAAATAAAAGGAACAGAGTGGCAGTGTTCACTGAAGGCTGTTTTAGAACCCTGATGCCCTTTAGAGCACATGCCTGAGTCTAGAGCACACACAGCCTTAGTCCTGGGGGAGCACAGAGCGGGCTGTGGGCGCCCTCCATACCCAAGTGGCCCTTGGGAGGGGGTTAACCAGAAAGACCGTTCGTTGTGTTGCTGACACCTGTTGTGAAGAACATGCCTCAGGTAGTAGTGGTGGCACATGAACAGTCTGGGTGAGTCCTGGGCCCCTGTAATGGGTTCCATCATCCTGTGGTCCTGAGAATACCATTCTCCCTCGGAACATGTGTCTTCAGCTGGAAAACAGGAAGTTATCTGTCCCTTAGAATGAAGACTACATTTCTGAGGTGAACTTTTAACCACTTATTCTTTTCCCTGAGTTAATGGGGCTCCAGGAAGTTGAATTTGAAGTCTGTTCCCTGCTGTGGGGCCCCGGTGCTTATGCAGCTACTTCCCAGGGGGTCTGCAGTGACCCCCTCCACCTGACACGCACCTGCTGAGCACATGCGGCCCCTCTCGGTATGGAGAGGGGCTCCCAGCATCTCCCCAGCTCTCCCAGCCTCTCCTGAGGCCCTGGTCCACCCCTGACCTCCCAGGCCCTCAGCCGGCCCCCTCCCTAGGCTGGGCAGGAATCCCCCAGTGGTACCAAGGCCGATGGGGGTTCTGGCAGGACCACCTGTGGAAGGGATACCAGAGAGAAAGTGACCAAGAAAATCAGGACTCCTCTGTGTTTACCCTCAGCATTTATCCAGCTCAAGCCAAGAAACAAATATTGAGCACCTACTGTGTGCGAAACAGTGTGACAGGCCCAGAGGGACATGCCCAGACGAGCAGGCGGTGAGACTACAAACGTGCTGGTATTTACCCACATGAGCAAGGATGCAAGGGCACTTGACTTCCTTTTCCTGCGTGGCCTCCATGCCAACCTCGAGGCAAAGACCATCCATCCAGTGTCACAGATGAGGGGACAGGGGCTCACAGCCGGTCAGCAGGGCCAGCCCAGGACCCAGAGCTTCCCTGAGTGTATCTGCAGGAGTGGGGCCTTTTGAGCACTGAGCCCAAGACAGAAGGCATTCGGGGAAGCCGTGGGAAAGCAAGGGCCACCCTATTAAGAGGCAGTCCAATCGTCAGTGGTCACACAGTGGGGCCCCAGGTGGCACCGCTTGTCCCCGCAGCCCCTGCTGGCCTCACCTGGCTGGCCTGCCCACGACCCCCTTGTTCCAGCTCTCTCTCCCCTGGACTCCGAAGCAGGCCCAGAGGGCTCCTGTTTACTCCACAGTGAACACCTACCGGGCAGCACTGGATACACGTGGTTTCCTGACAGCAGGGCCCTCAGGGAAGCACCAGCCCTGTCCAGGGCCGACCTGGGCTGGGTGTGGCCAGGGGCGGCAGAGGAGGAGCTGAATTCGGTTCCTGACCCAACCCCAGGCCTGTGATAGGGCAGCGGCCAGAGGGCAGGGCTGGCCACCCCAGAGCCCAGGGTGGGACCCTGTAGCCCTGTCCTGCAGGAAGGATGTGCCAGATAGAGCATCTCCTGCCAGGTGGGGTGGGAGGGGATGTGGAAGAGCGACTCACCCCAGTGAGGAAAGAAATCATTTTTGTACTTGGTGGGGGGTGGGGGGACCCCTCGTTTCAGCCCCTGCTCCCACTACGACCCCCGTGGCTGTCCAGGAGAGCAGAGCCAAGGAGTTCCTGAGCGGCCTTAGGAGGCCCAAGCGGCAGCTGTGGGACCGCTCGAGGCCGGAGGTGCAGCAGTGGTATCAGCACTTCCTATACCTCGGCTTCGACGAGGCGGTGGGTGTCCGGGGTCCCTCGGCGGGAGGGGCGGGGCCTGGGAGAGTGGGGGCGGTGCAGAGGCCTGGATCCCTGAGGGAGGGTGGGACAGAGGGCTGGCTTCCCACTGGGCAGAGTGGAGGTGAGGGGCAGAAGCCTGTATCTTCCTGAGGGAATGGGGGTTGGAGGGCAGAGGCCTGGATTCCCTTGGGGGTTGGGGGTGGAGCGGAGGGAAAGGAGGCTGGCTTCCTCCAGGGCAGGGTTGGGGGGCAGAGGCCTGGCTCTCCCTGGGGGGATGAGGGTTGAGGGGGGTGGGGGAGAGGCTTGGATTCCCACCGGATGGTGGGAGTGCATGCAGGGAAACGGCAGAGAATGAAGTTCTGTTATTTGCTCTGCAGTCAAAGCCAGAGTTGCCAGGCACTGGACCAGGTGACCGTCAGGTGTAAGGGTGTTGGCTGGAATTTTCCACCCCGCTGTGCCCAGTGGGTTCCTTCCCATCAGGGTTTGATAGCAGAATTCCGGAGACTTCATTTAGATTCAGAGAAAGTCTGATTTTCCTAGGAACCCTCTGACCGTATCTGTATGGTTTTATCTGAGTGTGAGTAAATGTGAGGATCCAGAAAGTTTCTAACATAGGCACAGAGGATGGGACTAGAAGGACATGCATCCAGACACCAGTAGGAATTGGCAGTGGAAAAGCCCCTTTCTCTTTGTCTCCCTCCCACCATGCTTTTTTAAAAATGTAAGTCTGCATTATTTCTGTATTTATAAAATATTTTTTAAGTTTTTGAAAAAAATATTTTAAAGCAAAACCTCAAACAAGATTATAAAATGAGGAAAACCAAAGAATGAGGCTACTACACTTTGTGACAAACTGCAGTATTGTGAGTCGAGCAAGCCATCTTCTTTTGAAAGCAGAGACTGGTGGGGCGGCTGAGGTTGGTGGGGGTCAGAGCCCCAGGCCAAGCAGATGAAGAGGGTGGAATTGTGCCCCCGCAGTCAGTGTTTGTGGCCTGAGTCAGCGCACCAGGCCTGTTTGAGCATCACTACAGGTGTGAGAGAGTCACCACCAGACATGCAGACCAGGCTGCAGTGTGATACTGTTCACCACCATTCACTAAACCCACAGCCTGTGCAGCAGCCCAGGCAGGACTGGGGGTCAGCGTCTGCCACACTAGACACCCAGTGCTGGGGGCAGACCCATTTGTTACTGCATTGGGCAGATGTCTGCTTTCTTTACCAAAAAAAAAAGAAGAATGCTGAAGTCTGGGATATATTCAGAACTCACAGGTAGGGATTCAAAGGAAGGGGTACATATGCCTTTGGAGACTAGGCTTTCAGCAATGCTCGCCTGCTGGTTAAAACTGACCTCTGGCCCAGGGATGCTGTAGCTAGGAGTAAGTATTTTTTTAAGTACTATTTATTATTTTTTATTGAAGTACAGTTGAAAGTCCCTTGAACTTCAAGGGGATCAAACCAGTCAATCCTAAAGGAAATCAACCTAGAATATTCACTGGAAGGACTGATGCTGAAGCTGAAGCTCCAATACTTTGGCCACCTGATGACTCACTGGAAAAGACCCTGATACTGGGAAAGATTGAGGGCAGGAGGAGAAGGGGGAAACAGAGGATGAGATGGTTAGACAACATTACTGACTCAATGGACATGAATTTGAGCAAGCTCCAGAAGATAGTGAAGGTCAGGAAAAGCCTGGCGTGCTACAGTTCACAGGGTCACAAGGAGTCGGACATGACTTAGTGACTGAACAACAACAGTTGATTTATAATGTTGTGTTAGTTTCAGATACGCACGCACATATATATATATATGTGTGTGTTTTTTTTGGGTTCTTTTTCCTTGTAGTTACTACAGGATATTGAATATAGTTCCTCCTTTTGCTGTACAGTAGGACCTTATTGCAGGAGTTATTCTATTAGGGGTCATTCATTGTTGAATGTCAGTGAATGAACCAGAGAAACACCACCAGTAAGATGTGCTTTGGGAAATGGTGTCCTTAATCCCATCCTTTTTCACCCTCTTCTCCAGAAATTTGAGGATGACATCAGCTATTGGCTGAACAGAAATAGGAATGGGCACGACTACTACGATTACTACCAGCGCCACTACGATGAGGATGCGGCCATTGGCCCCCGGAGTGCCCACAGCTTCCGGCACGGAGCCAGCGTGAACTACGACGACTACTGACCACCTCTTCGGGCAGGTTCAGGCCGTGGGCTCTGCACAGCACTCGAGCTGTGTCTGCCCTGTCTGGTCTTGGCCCATCTTCCCTACTCGCTTTCTCTGGCCAGAAAGGAAGCATTAACACAGAGAATATAAAGGCCTTTTGAGAGTCCATGCAAGTTCCTAACACTGCATTCCATTTAAAACTAGAAATAAAAGCATTTTGTTTAAAAGTCTGAGTTTGAAAGTTTGAATGAAACTTAAGCTGGTGAGAGTTTTCCTTCCCTGGATGTTTCTCAACCTCTCAGAGACACCAAGTGTGACCCCTCCAAGAGTCCCTACCATCCCAAGCCATGGGACGGAGCAGGGGGTCTTTAGTGTGTTAGAATTCAGTCCACACTAAATGTAAACAAGCAAAACCCAGCAAGAAAATTTATTGGAAATTATTTAAGATCACAAAACACAGTTTGGAGGATCTAATCATTGATGTGGTTTTGCAAGTTTGATTGCTCTTCCATAGCCTGAGCCAGAGCTGGACCTGTTTAATATCATTAGGGAGGAAAAATGGGTAATAGAAAAACCACTAAAGTTCAGTTGATTTCAGAGCTTCACTTACCTTAAGAAATTAAATGAATCCAAGATTTAAGAATATACTTTGCATCATGTTTAAACAACCTGAGTGAATGGAAAAGTGGGGGTGGGTTGAGGGAGGGGAGGGAGATGGGGAGGTGACACCTGCAGAGGGGAGGGGCCCTCAGCATGGCTCTTGTACTCACAGACCCTCTGACAGCCTGCTGGAAGCTTTCTCACAAAACTGCTATGTGATTTGCACATAAACTCTGAGACACCCCATTATTCACAGGCTGCAGATAATGAATCCCTGGGCTTGGTGGCGGATACCGCTTCAGGAAAGCAGTGTTTCTGGACAATCCTTTGGAATCCCTACAACTTTTAAAAATTGGTGGTAAAACACACACAGCATTTTTTGGTGCACAGTTCAGGGACATTAAGTTCATTCATGTTGTTGTGCAACTGTCACCAGTCTCCACCTCCAGAACCATCTCATCTTCCCCAAACAGAAATTCTGTCCATGAAGCCATAAATCCCCAGCCCTGCCCCACCTTCTTTCTGTCTGCATGGATTTGACTCCTCTAGGGACCTCCTGTAAGTGGAATCATATAGTATTCGTCTTTTGTTATTGACTCAATATTTCACTGAGCATTACGTCCTCAAGCTTCATCCCCCTTGTAGCATGCCGTGTTTCTTCCCTTTTTAAGGCTGAGGAATATTCTATTTTGTGTGCAGACCACTCTTTGTTTATCTCCCAACAGACACTGGGTTCTTTCCACCTCCCAACTGGTGTGACTAATGTTGTGAACACGGTCTGCAAATACCTCTTTCTGTTCCCACTTTCAGTTCTTTGGGGCACATACCCAGAAGTAGAATTATTGGATCATAAGGTAATTTGTTTTGTTTTTTGAGGAACCACCATTTGTTTTCCATGTCAGCTGTTCTATTTTATATTTTAATATAACATAGAGTTGTAATTTGCTGTTCAGTCACTCAGTCATGTCCGACTCTTTTTGACCCCATGGACTGCAGCACGCTAGGCTTCCCTGTCCATCACCAACTCCCAGAGCTTGCTCAAACTCATGTCCACTGAGTTGGTGATGCTGTCCAACCATCTCATCCTCTGTCATACCCTTCTCCTCTTGCTTTCAATCTTTCCCAGCATTAGGATCTTTTCTAATGAATCGGCTCTTCATATCCGGTGGCCTAACTATTGGAGTTTCAGCATCAGTCCTTCCAATGAATATTCAGGACTGATTTCCTTTAGGATTGACTAGTTTGATCTCCTTGCAGTCCAAGGGATGCTCAAGAGTCTTCTCTAATACCACAGTTCAAAAGCATCAATTCTTCGGCACTCAGCTTTCTTTATAGTCCGACTCTCACATCCATATATGACTGCTGGAAACTCCACTGTCTCCTGCATCTGCTGGCTTTCTGGATAAGGTCACTATTCTTTGCCCCAGCAAGTCGTCTCTTGACTTATTGGCCTATCCTGTGGGTACGAGATTGGACTCCATAATAGAGTTACATTCAGACTTCTGCTTCTGTTTCTTAACCACTATGGTGCTGCTCAAACCCCAGTGCAGTGTCGGGAAGGGGGCTGGACAGTGATGGAGAGTGTGCCTTAGTTTCATTCCTAATCTTAAATGTTGCTGTGCTTCTACATAAATTATGTTTGCTGGGTGTTTTTAGATGCGTTTTCTCAGGAAAGTTACTATTCCTTTAAAAATATGCTAAGAAGATTTTAAAATGTCATATGGATGCTGAATCCTAGATTATCTGTTGATAAGTCATCCTTTTAAATCTGTTAATTAACAATTAAATTAATAAAATTCTAATATTAAGCAATTGAACTGTGACCCCATGGACTGTAGCTGGCCAGGCTCCTCTGTCCATGGAATTCTCCAGGCAAGAATACTGAAATGGGTTGCTATTCCCTTCTCCAGGGGATCTTCTCGACCCAGGGATCGAACTCAAGTCTCCTGCATTGCAGCCAGATTCTTTTCTGTCAGAGTCATCAGTGAAGTGGAATAAAACTAACTTGACCATGATTTTTTTCACTGTTGGATCTGGTTGGATAATATTAGTTCAGAATTTTTGCATCCATGTCCTTTAGGAAGATTGGCCTGTAGTTTTGTTTCTGGTTCTGTTGTGGTCAGTTTGGGTGTCCAGCTTATACTGAATTCCTAAAACGAAGTATTTTCTGATATTTCTCCATATAAGGATGGAATTCTCTGTCCTGAATGGGAGCATTCTGATAAAGTCATTTGGATAGAGTGTTTTCTTCATGGTATTAATAAAATTTTTGAATATTTGAATGCATTTATTTTACAGGTAAAGGATTATTTTAACTTTGTTTCTCTCCTTGAATTTGTTTTGCAAAATTCTCTCTCTCAGTAGTCATTGATTATATGAAAGTTTTGAAGTGTGTTGAGAATTGCTCTTAATATCCTTTAATCCTTATTTCTCTGTAGCATCTGTGGTTTTTTTTCATTCCATTTGTGCCTTTAAAAAAATATTTTCAAACATTTGTGCCTTTTTTTTTTAATGAATCTTTTCAAACATTCAGTTTTTGCCTTGTTGATGTGCTGTTTTGTATACTTCTCTATGTCACAAATTTATGTTCACTTAATTTCCTTTCTTCTGCATCTGTGGGTCTTTGATTTATCTCAATTTTGAGGCTTATTTTTTTCCAGAGGCAAATACTTACTATTCTAAGTTTCCTCTTCAAGAACTATATTCCATGAGTTTGATGTGAAAAGCTAGATGATGAAATCACCTAATTTCAATTATAATTTCTCCTTTGACCCATGAGTTGATTACAAGTGTTATTAAATTTCCAAGTGAATGAATTTTTCTAATTATCTTATTGGCTTTGTTTTCTTACTTAATTGCATTTTGTATGTGTGTGTGTGTTTAATGTAGTCAGATGCTAATTCTTTGAAGTATACGAAGGCCAGCTTTACATCTGAGCATGTGCCAGCCCAGCAAGGGTTCCCGTGTGCCTGAAAGGAATGTGTGTTTCCCAGACATCAAATGCAGTCAAGTCCATTAGCTCAAGCCTGACTGTGACATTGTTCACATACTCTATTTTCTTACTAATTTTTTTGGTCCATTTGATCTACTGATTCTGATAGGTGTGTTGAAATCCAATGATGGATTTGACTAGTGTTTTGTTTAATTTCTGTCAGTCTGACTTCATAGAAAGCTATGGTCTTCCCAGGTGGTTCTAGTGGTAAAGAACCTGCCTGCCAATGTAGGGGACGCAAGAGATGCTGGTTCAATTCCTGGGTCTGGAAGATCCCTTGGAGTGGGGCATGGCGACCCTCTCCAGTATTCTTGCCTGGAGAATCCCATGGACAGAGGAGCCTGGTGGGCTACAGTCCATAGGGTCGCAAAGAGTCGGACATGAACTAGGTGACTTAACAGGTATACACATATTCACTTTCTTGAACTTTATTCAGGTTATAAATTTCACTATGTTCCCTTTTTTAAATGTGCTTGAAAGAAGTGAAAGTGTTAGTTCCTTGGTTGTGTCTGACTCTTTGCAACCCCATGGACTGTAGCCTGCAAGGCTGCTATGTCCATGGGATTTCCTGGCAAGAATCCTGGAGTGGGTTGCCATTGCAGATTCCATCCTCTGAAGTCTGTGCAGGTCAATCTGGCGGCCCCCCACTGCTTCTTACTTATGGTGTCCTGCCTTCTTGAAGTCATGTGACTTCTCTTTTTTAAAATTAAATTTATTTTTAAATGAAGCAAAGATGAATATTTTGAATGATAAAAGGTACAACTCACAAAGAAGATAGATATCATAAACACCTAACAACAAAAAAAACAAAGATACATAAGCAAAAATCAGAAGAAATACAAGGGAGAAGAAAAAAATATAGTGACATCTTAACATTTCTCTGAGAATATTTTGTCAAGTGCAGAAAAAATAAGAATAGGAGCATCTTGAATTATGTCCTTAATAACTTAAATGTAATAGATTTCTATTTATATTAACCTTATATCCTACATAAATATATTTAAAATTTCATATCTCATACATTGTTAGATATCCATAGGACATTTAGTAAAACTGACAAAAGGGTAAACATTACTAGATTTCAAAAAGTAGAATTCTTTATTGTGTGATTCAGTTGTACATATACACATATATTATTTTTGAAATTATTTTCCATTATATATTATTGAACTTATTGATTGCAGTTTCCTGTGCTATAGTAAACATTTATTTGCTTGTTGCATGTCTATTTTTTAAAATTAGAAATCTAGCATTCTATTTATACTAAGTCAAACAAGTGGAAACAAAATGTCATAAATTTTTTAGTTAGGCAAAAATTCATAAGTTTTCTAAAATGTATATATTATACATATTATTTATATATGTATACAAGAGCTTTTGTACTATACTTGATAAAGGCTTAAGAAAGAACATCAAAAAAAGAGAT